AAGTCAAGACATCGCGAGCGATTGACTTGTTGGCCACCCCTGGCCTAGAGCAATACTCAACTACACTGTGTACAAACCTAATGAGAACAGTAAAAGTCATTTGCCTTGAGATGAATACACAAATTGCAACGTTATGCAGTAGTGTCCCGCTAGTCCAAACTAATTGGGACCAAGCCCTGTTTGGATTAGCAGATTTTCAGATTAACTGAATAATTGAAATAATGCAGAAGCAAGCAGTAAAACAGGTCTGGTTTATATAGATCCAACATAATCAATGACCCTCCCTTTATTTATAAATGAGGGTAATCCCAAAAGTAATGTCTCCTATTTTTTTTCAGAAATACAAAGAAATGTTTATTTTCAATAATGTTTACATCATTTTAAAGCTTGAACATTTATCTATTTTTCTACATAATTGCCATTTTGGTCAATGCATTTTTGTAGGCATTACGGCAGTTTTTTATGCCCATGTTAAACGATTGAATTCATTGCACAATTGATGGAAGTGAATGGCGAGTCATGCATGGATGTCATAAATGTCTGCAAGTGGTGTAGGGAGTTTGTAGCTGGTCATACTGAAATTCACAATAAAGAAAGAAGTGGGAGACCATCAATTTCTGACAAGACAGTTGCGAAGGTTGAGCAAACATGTGTGAAAATTGGCAGATCCTCTGGATGATTTTAACGGAAAAGTTGCAATATTGGAAGGTGTGCGCAAGATCGGTCCCGTGACATGGTGGCGAGCTGGTATGACACAGGCATAAAAAAAACCTGCTACCGTGCCTACAAAAATGTATCAACCAAAACAACAATTATGTAGAAAAATAGATAAATGTTCAAGCTTTATTTTCAATAATGTTTACATCATTTTAAATGTTTCTTAGTATTTCTAAAACAATAGGAAACCTTATTTTTGGGATTACCTTCGTAGATCCAACATCACCAACATCATATCATCATTGCCCCATCCTTTATTTCATCTGTCTTGTACTCAATGGAGAATAAACAATTAAAAAAACAACTTTTTTAATTTTGAAATGGCAACCTGCCTTCATTGTTTACCTTAAAATTATTTTAACTGTAAAAAACGTTGTTTTTAATACACAGTTCAGGATTCCAATCAGATGACTGATGCTACTGTGTGAGTTAGCATGCTTAATTGTGGATGTTGTATGTACTCTTTGCTCTACATTATTTTAGTTAAATTTAGTCTGCTACTACGATGGTCACGAAACGGAATCACACAACATGTACATTGAAAGTTAAGCTGGATGTTTTGAAAAGACTAGACAAGGATAAAAGTGCAATGAAATTGGTAGTAGAGTTTGAAGTGGGCAAGGCCGCAATAACCGACTGGGGAAACAAACCCCACAAAGATTGAGCAGTTTTGTGCCTCTACTTCAGAAAAATCAGTTGAAAATCAACAAACAGCAAGGCCCTCAACATTTGACCAGCTTGATGAAGCCTTATTCACGTGGTTCACTAAGGAGTGTTTCCCTTTCTTTCCTAAATGGACCTCTTGTTAGAAAAAATTTCCTCTCTACCGACCGAAACATATTTGGATTAGTAGGACTCTACTGTGTGTGTCACCAATAGTTGAAATCAACTAATTAGCAATGACGTAAGGAGTCAAAGTCCAATTGTTATTTTATGCTTTGAGCATTATTTTTAGTTCTTTTCTTTTCAGGGTCCATTTTTAGGATGGAAACTCCTAAGAAATCCCAAAATGTGCTAAATTCAAAAATATAAATATAAATATACTAATTTGCACCAGTGACTGATCCCTTGACGTGTGGAGTTGTAAATAGGGCAATGTGGAGTTACACTGATAGACAGATAAAAGACAACACGTCTGTTCAAGTGTGGTGTAGCTCCCAACAGTGGCCTTCGTTGAAGCAAATTGTCTGGCTTTCTTTAAGTGATCAGCTCATAAGATGCTTGTTCTTTGTTTAATTATTTTGGTGGAGATTTGATTGATTATACAAAAAAAGAATTTCTTTCATTGATTGATCTTGACTCTATATTTCAAATATTCCAATAAAAAAAAATTTATAATCATTGTTGTTTATATATAAATACTGTTCAATCTAATATATAAGTAAAAATCCACAACAATATTTAAGTGTTATTTTGGATCATTATATTTTGCTTCTCATTAAATCCAGTCCAGTACTTGACTTGAACCCTAAATTGTGTAACCCTGCCTTTTGTGTTGCACAGTACATTACAACGAGGATCATCTCTTCTCATTTTGATCACACAATATTAGCACCACGTGGGGTCACGGCAGTTAACCTTAAGTGAAGTTTCATCTATTATTTTTATATAAATATAATTTTCTTAACATGGAGAATAAAAATCAAAGTTGTAACTCTTCTACAGTACAATACCAAATAATGGTAGACTTCATAAATGCACACAAGAAATTTTTACAGATAAGCTGTTCATATATATGTATATCTTAATTATAGAGACATTATATTTGCTATAAATGATATTAAGCAATACAGTGGTGAAAGTTGGTCTGTGTCCTTCATACCTCAGCGTTTTTGAGTAAGCACATTCCAAGATGTTCCGAATGTACCACAGGTTTGTAGGAAATACACAGTTTATCACAGCACCACACTGTACTGATTGACATTCTAACAATCAAGAATAAGTTAAAATAATTGGAGATCTGATGTCTCCTTGATAATTTCTATACCATGGAGAGGCTCTGTCTGCACTCTTCATATGATCTCAGACCTCACCCATACCTGAGCATTCTTCCCAGAGGAGTAGAACCTCACTCCCTATCGTCAGTAGGCTTGTTGAGCTCTGAGATCCAAGTGATATCAGCTCCGAGCCTTGCCCTCCACTCCTTTTTCTCCCCAATTTAAATGTTTAGTCAGAAGTTAGTTCCAAAAAATCAGAGAAAAGAAAGCTTTGTATGCAACCACCTATGTCTGTGCTGACCCAAATATGGATGTCATCCTCCCACATGTTTACTTGTTTAATTGTAGCTGTTTCCTTACCACTACAAATGGTTTTATGACCAGACCACATCTGGGTCCAATTTAACAAGCTACAAGATTGCTTTGTTTTTCTCCCAAATTAATATTTTATAATAGTTTTAAAACTAATGTTCCTATGTTTCAATAAAATAGAAATTTAAGTATGTATGTATCTGATAGTCATCTAGACTTAATGATAGCTTGCACTAATCTTTCAGTAAATGAGAGTTGTAAACAAAAGTGTCATTTGTAATGAGGACACTGTGAGGTTCAGTATCACATTTCCCGCCAATTGTTCCTTACATATTTGTTTGGCTTAATGACACTACTTAGTATTATCCCAGAACAGACAAGCAAAAATTATCGTGACATTAAAAAGTGTAGCTTGGCATTATGACAATCGTTAATTTAAAATATTTCTCAATCTCAAATTAGTAATATCTTGTCCCTCTACATCATACTACATTCATCTATGTAATGCCATTCAACGGAAAATTTCTGAATTGAAATCACATACGAACTTTCAGTCTAGACCAGAAGTCATAAGATTAATTGGGCCCTCCTGTCTTTAAGCTTTCCATATCTAGTCTTGACTTTCATCCATCTAACATTGTTCTTGAGATTAAGGAAGGACACACACACAACACAGTGAAAATTTATAGGTTTGCAATTTTTTCAAATTGCAGCCCAATGAAGAAATAAGGGAAAAAACAGGAATTAAAAATTTTTGGAGAAGATAAAATAAATTAAATTGAAACGGTTTGGACATACCAAGAGAATAGAATACCAAAGTTGGTATTGGAGATGATGATGAAGGGAAGAAGATCTAGGAAAAGACCCAGGAAGAGGTGGAAGGACAAGATAGCTGAAGACCTAAGAAAAAGAACTGATGATGTAACCGTGGTGTTTGCAGAGAAGTGGTGGAAAGATATGGAGGTCTTTGATCCATGGCCCAACCCAGGCTTCACTGAATTAAGGGTAAAGAAGAAGAAGACTGATAAATGTTAAATTCCATTTTCCTATAAATGTAAACAGGAAATCAATAGCTTAAGTCTCTATTTTTATCACGAATTCTGTTTTTACTGTATAAAAGTTTCAATTGTAGAATTTTGTCTGATGGCAATGTTATAAAAATTAATTTGAAGACATAGTCTGTCTGAAATTGGTAACCACCATTTATTCAATTGTGTTCCAGAATACAAACAATTGACGACCTGACCTTTCTTTTTAGGCTGCTTGGCTGTCGACTTTAAAAACATTCCTTTAAAAAAACACTGAAATTGTCTGATGTAGTCTATCAGAAAAATACGTCTTCAAATTAATTTTTGTAAAATTGCAATCTGATGAAATTCTACAATTGAAACTTTTGCAAAGATTCATCACCAGGTGGAGGCTATGAAAATCTACATTTACCAGTGCATTTTCCTCAGTGGATATAAAGCATGAAAATCCCCGAGCGGTAAGGATGGAAAGAAAAATGATGTATGTAAGATCTGCCAGTTTCAATTTTAACTTTGTAATTTTAATTGGATATTTTTCTATTTTTTAAAGGAATGTTTTTAAACTTGACGGCCAAATAGCCTAAAAAGAAAGGTCAGGTCGTCAATTGTTTGTATTTTAGAACACAAGAAGTGAATAAACGGTGGTTACCAACTTCAGACAGACTACGTCTTCAAATTAGTTTTTGCATAAAAGTTCATAAATTCGTATTTCATTTGTAACTAATTGTAAACTGATAGTATTCCCTGTTACTGCTCTTGAAAAAAGCACCAATACCAAAATTTTCTTTGTATGAAGATTAATCAGTACTTTATAAATGTTACATTAGAAAAATATTCTCTTGTTAGTGCAAACATAAACAATAAAAATAAAAATGAACCAAATTTTAAAATAATATTATTTCACTTTTGTAAAGGAATATAAGAATAATAATAGAAATGATATAAATTGTATTAGTTTTAATAAAACAACCTATTCTATAGAATAATTATGTCCAATACAACTTACGGTATTTCTACCAAACTCTCGACGCAACCCAGACTCTCGGCAAGAGTGAAGCATTTCAGACTTTTGACAAACGTTTGTGCTTCTTCCAGGCCACCCTTTATGTAAAAACTAACCATCCCACTGAATCCAGAGCATTGTCGTTTTGCCAATTCATACTGAGTGTGACTTGGAAGACCTTTAGTCATAAGAGAAAATACATTTTAAACAAAAAGTGTATCAAAAACACATCTAAAAAAATCAAAACAATAATAATTTGAAAACTCATTATCAACCTTTTGATTTATAAATGAATAATCGTAAAATCCTAAGAAATCTGCGAGTTTATTAATTAATACTTAATTCTTTTTGTATATTTCCTAATTCATATAATAGTCTATAAAACTCTTTGTAATTGATTTAAAATAAACAAAATGAAACTTTAAAAATAATTTGATTCATTACTATATATTTTAATTTCAAAATAAGTTGACAAAATCAAACAATTCAGTCTTTCTTTTCATTTTCTTGACTATTAGATTTAGACTACAGTAGAACTTCTATATTCGTCATTAATCTGTTCCTAAGGATCTAATGAATATGGAAAATGACAAATATAAAATCAATTTTTCTCATAATAAATAACTGATATTCAATTAATCCGTTCCCATCTTAAAAAAAGATAAAACAATAAAAATTTTGTTGTTTGTAAAACTTTACTGTATTTATTTAGTACAATAAAGATATAGTGGTAGAAGGGGAAGAAAAGTAAGGTTATTATTGTTTAGAAGACATACCATCAATTAAAACGTTAGGTAATTCAAGTTATGATCTCGGCATATTAAATCCTTTGGCTAAGTTGGAAACACTAGAGAAGTTGCGGCCGAAGTTTCATCTCTGAAATGTGAATGTCGAACGTTGAGTGCTGCCATCTTGTAAGCCTAGAAGTTTGATAATGGCATTTGGAATGTCGAGCATTATTCCAATGACGTTCCGAATGCCATTGTCAAACTTCTAGGCTTACAAGATGGTGGTGCTCGATGTTCCCATTTTAGAGATGAAAACTTCGGCCACAACCTCTCTACTCTGTCCATTTTCAGACTTAGAGGTAGAGCAACAATAGAAATAATTTTTTTAAACAGTTTTCCTTTTTTTTTGCTGTTTTTCTGCATTGTGCTTTGTTGGAGCCATTGGAACTTGAGTTTTTGAAAATAATTGTCAGTCCAGATTTAGGGATTGATTATTTTTAAGAAATTATCATTAAAAGAATGACCTAATTTCAATTAGAAAATATTTTATAACTGATAATTTACAAAAGATGTACAATTCTTTCAATTCTACAAGAGGAGAAAATTGAACTTCCTTTAGACGGCCGACTTCGAGATGATTCAGATGCGGCCTTTGCACACGTTACTTGGCCGTCTACTAGAGCTGTCTGCTCTCTATAAATAGGGGCATTTTCCTGCCACTCGAGGTAGTCCTGCAAATGAGGATTACCATACAAATACCTAGGTAGCCCTTCAAAAGAAGATTACCACATAAAATGTTGATAGTACCTGGAACCCAACTGGTCATATAGAAGACGACGACGACGACTTTGAAGAAGGCGCACATTAGCAGTTATGTTGCAAGGTTCCCTTCTCTTCCCGATCCTCTCCGATATAATGTAAGCACGGAAAAAGAAGAAAAGAACTGAGAAGATAATTTGTTAGATCAATGTAAACTCTCTCTCTCACATAGGTTAATTAGAATTAGGATAGTTTGAATCCCTCCAGGAGAACAGGCCTAGAATACATCATTGTAATTCCATGAAATTGTATTCTTATTTCTATAATAGTTTTAATGTATTTATCCATTTAATCTGTTTATATTAAATTTTGTCATTCTTTTGGTAATCAAATGTAGTTCGTTTCTGTTTGATTTACCTATGTGATCCCACTCGCTAAATGTTAATTAAGCCTCCTTGATACTCCTTTTCCTTATCAACAATAATAATTATAATAATTGTTTACGCGTGTTAGTCCGTGGAATTGACTAGCTGGTGTTGGGAACCCTGATGTAGGAGAAGGATGATTATTAGATCATCTCTCTCTGCATTCTTTCACTTATACAAAGCCATCTGTTTAATGACCGAGGGCTAGTCTCACCGACCAGATGCCGAGTAAGTGGCATTCGAGTGCTTTCCCAACTCCATGTCCTCGGCCACATAATCAACACGAGAAACCAAGAACACACACGAGGACCGCACAAAGCAAACTGATTAACTACAGCTAGCTGACACTGTGTTGTCAACTCAAAATTCAAATTTATAGCTACATATTTTAATAAAAATATTCAAATCATATTGTTTCCATAAAAATTGTTTGTTTTTTTTTAATATCTAGATGGTCTAGCTATTTTTATAATGCTATTATGATTTAGATAATTTCCATAGCTAGATTGTTCATAAATCCACTAAATTGGCAACACTAAGGTAACACAGCTAGATAATTGGCGTGATTGTAGCGCCACTGCTGGTGTTGAGAATGATGATGAATACAGAAAATACTGACGAATATGGGGGAAAAGTCATCAAAATGTGACGAATATAGAGGTTCTACTGTAATAATAAAAATTAAAATCTTCAGATCAATTATAAAACATTTTAATGCTGACATGAACAATTTATTAGTTATCAGTTAATTGTTTAAAATAATTAGAAAAATAATCAGCAATTAATATCTTATAAGATCAGTAATTCATCAAATTTTATATAAGAGACTATAGGTTATGAATTTTATAGTTTTTATAAAGTGTGTATTTATATCACACTGTGCAATTTGTGAATAGATTTTAAGAATATATATAATTTTCATAATGAAATGTTATAGAAATCAACAGATATCATCATTTAGTACTTGCAAAACAATTACCAGCACGGTTTCACTATAGTGTATTCACTATATAGTGTATTCACTCGGACACAAGGCAAATCTCATTATTAATTTTTATTTAGTTGATACATGTACTTAATGTTTGTACACGTTTTGGGTTATTCTTGCCTCTCCTCAGTAAACTTCAAATCACAGATCTTTGTAAACTTAAATTTGTTTTTAAACACTTCTATATGTTTCGACCCTTATCATTAATCAAGTGTTTAAAATGAATTTAAGTTTACAAAGACCTGTGATTTGAAGTTGACTGAGGAGAGGCAAGAATAGCCCAAAATGTGTACAAACATTAAGTACATGTATCAACTAAATAAAAATTAATAATGAAATTTGCCTTGTGTCTGAGTGAATACACTATATAGTTGGTGTTCAAATTACATTAACCTATTCGATGTTGAAATTTTTATTTGTTGCCTGTGACGCCATGTTGAATTTTCATTGATGTTAAGCCTAATTTTTTTTTAAAATAATAATCGTGTTTACTGTATCGTAAAAAATTATGTTTCACAAACAAAATAAATATATTGAATAATATAGAAACAAAAAAATTTATATTTTAAAAGTTTGTTATAAAATAATCAACATTTGATAAATGAGCTCATCACATTTTCCATCTAGTTACAATATTTGAATTTTAAAAATATTTTACTTTGTTAGGCATGAATGTTAATCAAAGAGAATTATCGCAACATGTAGAATTTGAGCCAAATACGTATTATGCTGCTTTTTCTGCTGAATTAGAGGGATCAGCTACTCCCATGTGGGCTTTGATATCTCATTTAAAATCTCCTGTAAGTATTTAAATAAAATTAGTTTATGTTATAGATTAATTAATGAGTTTGATCTAGCTTTTATATATTATTGATCATAAAAATTTATATTTTTTTAAATGGTTTTATTTTTTTGTTAAACATATTTTTAGATAATATATTAAAAAGCTTCTTGCCTGTATTATTTAATTACAAAAACTACTTAGTTACATATGACTAATGAACAAGCTTATTACACACCCAGTTTATTTAATTAACTTATTCCAAAATGCATTTTGTCCTTACTGACTCTTATTAATTGAGTGACCTACAAAACAGGCTATGGTGACAATTTTCTAACATTACATTATACATTAGCAGTACAATTATTACAAGTTATTATATACACATTATTAATAGGATTCTAAAATTATCACTAGACAGTAACTCAACAATAGCAAGCAATTGTTTATTATTGTTGAGTTACTATACCATGCATTTTGAGCCTCATTAATTTGGACTAGGTTTTTCCCCAATTAGTCCAAATTAGTGTGGGCCTACTGTATTTTTCATTTACTTTTGTTAAATTATTAGAGAAAGTAAAATGAAATTGAATTATAAATTTTTCAATTATTAATAATAAGATTAATCATAAAAGTTTCATAAATTTTAAATGAATGTAAAATAAAATTTTGTAGAGTTAAATTTTTAAAATTTTTCATTGTTATTTCTAAAATTGAAATGTTTTCTGTAGGAACAACTTGGATTGACAAAACAAGTAATTTCTCATTGTTTAATAGCCTTAGAAGATTGGTTTGATGCTATTGGTTTTTCTACTTCTGATAAAGTAAGTTATCTGTTATATTTGGCACACATAATTATGTGTGCGCCAAATTATTAATTATATTAGAAAATAATAATAAAATTTAATATATTTAATTATAATTTAAATAGTTTGTTATACATTAATAAAATTATTATCTTTTATTCTTGTGTAATAAAATTGTATGTCTTATAAAAGATATTTTCTAGAATAAAATTTAAAAAAAAATTACAGATCAATAAAAATTTCAAGTGAAATATTTTTAATGGTTTGTTACTTGCTCTTTACTATTTAAGATATACAGGCTGCTACACATAATGTGTTACATGCTAATATTTCCAAAACTATATAATATAATCGAAAGATTTTGTTATATTACATGTATCAAAAGAGTCTCTTGATTTAAAATAAAATTAAACTTCTCTTTTCATTTTAAGTGGAAACTTTGACAAGTTTAAGAGTACAAAGAAATTTTGCAAATAATAGCATCAAAGATAAGCATAATATTTTTTAAACAATATTTTTGAGAAACATAAACCCATTGTACTGTTCACTTTACAAAAGTTTTGGAGAGTAGGAATGGTAGGAAATTTTTGTCTGTTGTTTGCATATGTTAGTGTCTGATTAATCAAGATAAAAACATGTCAGTAGTTTTTATTACTATGTTGGGATTGGACTTTTGTCTATGAAGTTCAAG